CCATCTGGATGGCGGCCATACACTTCAGGCAGAAATGAGATTTGTTCTGAGCATGGACGGAACACGAGCACTGGATTTGTGCTCGGTTCATGCACTGTATTAACACTTGACTGGCTGTCAGCTTTAGGATCTGCAGCCAAATCACAAGAACACTGGACGACAATACCTCCTCTGAGATTCTCTGGACACTGCAGCGCTTTCACAACAGTTGCAGCTCTGTAGCTGTTTTTAATCGACATTCAAACCATCTTCTAAGCTGCTTTCCCTTTTTTACTCAGCGTGTAGCTGATTTGCTTCATAGTCTAACAAGAAACTATATTTATTTGAGTCGATTCTTCATCTTCCACATGGATTTACTCAGAGGACGTCAGATTTTGAACAAAAACATCTATTCTAAGTTATTTCTGAATTAAGTATTTTTAGTAGGCCAAGCACTGTGAGCCGTTTAACCAGAAAATTTAGTTTTTATCCAGTCGACAGCCCTTAGTGAGTTCTGGCGATGCTTTGAGGGAAGTGAATAATGATTTAAAACTCCCCTAACTCCTTTTTGTTTGCTGACAGTTAAATTAAATGAGCAAATAGGAAATAAACTTCCCGGATATGATTCTGTACAAACTCTTCAATGTGAAGAGGCATTAAAAAGTGCCATTTAAACCACTGACTCTTGTCTAGATTCAAATGGCAGCAGTTTTCACAAACACATTGAAGTACTCACGACACAACATGCTGGAAGTCACAAGGCCCGGTGTGGATCTTGCATCCAGATTTTTTTTTTTTTCTGGAGCGTTTGGTCCAGTTTGTCCATTTATACAAACATCACGTAATGTTTGTAAGATTTATTTTTAGATTAAAAAAACAAAACACCCTGTCTCCCTCAGGTCAGTCAGCTTGGTGCAAATGGCTGATGGAGCTCAGTGGGTGAAGACGTCTTGCACGTGGAGTTGGGGTGATTTTTGGTGAGATGCCCTTAAGGTCAGACACTAGTCTCCAGTTTTCCACAGTGATGCTTGTTTGCATGTAATAAATAACCCCTACGGATTAAACTCCAGATGCTACTCCAGTTTTTCCGGTCATGTGAGATGAAAACTACATCCACTTATTGAAGGACATATTTGGCTGATCATCTAAATGACTGCAATGATTGTGAAATGAAAGAACTGGGACCATCGGACGTGGTAAAGTTAAGGTTTGGAAAGACGTGTGGAAGAACAGCGTGTTGGCCAACAGGCTGAATGCTGATGTCGCTACACAGATTCAGTAGGAGACTGGTCATCGGCGTGGTGCCTCATTGACTGAACGCTGGTCAGGATTTTCTTCTGATGTCCTGCAAGAGACACCCCAATCCTCTGCAGGTCTCTGAGAAAAAGCAAGAGATATAAATAATTAATTAAAGACAAAGTTCACTCCTTTTCTAAACACATTGACAGTGGTCTCTAATTTAAATTAATATCTTCTGAGTCAATCTCTGAGGAAGAAATGCTCTGGCATTAGCCAGAGAAGAGGGGAGCAGATCACGCCAGGATTTGGAGTCCTATTTGCTGATATTTAGACATCTTGCCTCTGATTGGCTAACAGCAACGTGACTCTACCACAGCCTCCGTTTGCTTTGCTACGTTAATGTTTTGTTTCCACAAATAACACAAGCCTGGGGGAGTTCTGCTGTGGGGTGGAGTTGCTAATGCTAAAAGCTAGCTTCTACTATTCGAGACGTCCTCTGAGTTCCCTGGTCACCAAACCCTCAACAGCCTTCCCCGTTGTGAGTCAAGACGGGTGAGTCCACAAAAGTTAAGTGACAGTGTGAAGTAGAGCTGACAGGATTTTCATATCCTAGTTTCATTACAAAAAAAAAAACTGAGTAGCTCTCCTTTATTTATATAGCCCTTTGTACACAACTCTGTCAACCAAACAAATCAGCAACACAAAAAACAAATATAAAAATTTCAATACATAAAACACAGCTTAAAACAAACAAGAGTGGATAACAAAAATCAGGCAGTGTTACACGCCAGCGAGTAAAAGAGACTTCAAATCCAAAAGCGAAGAGGCCAGTCTAATACTGACAGCTAGCTGGTTCTATAGCTACAGCAAAGGACCTATCAGCCCTCTGATCCACCAACTACTGCTGGTCACCTGACCTCAGCCGGCATGTTGGCTCATAAGACAAAAGCATGTCCATTAGATAAGGTGCCAACCCATTTAAAGATTTATAGGCCAACACCAAGATTTTAAAACAAATTCTAAAAACAACTGGAATCCAGAGCAGTGAAGCCAGCACGGGTACTTTCTGCTGCCCGTTAGCAAACGTGCCGCAGCGTTCTGGACCGACTGTAGTAAAGACGACCCTGACTCACCTCGACCTATAGTCCATTGCAAAAGTCCATTCTCAAGGTGATAAAAGCATGAATGAGTCTTCCCAAGTCACTCTTCACCAACACAGACTTGACTTTAGCCGGCTAATTGGAAGAGGCAGGATTTCACCACACTGTTAATCTGCTTGTTGAACCTCACCTCCAAATCAGAGATGACATCCTTAGGAACCGGTGCCAACAAGTCCAAGTGAGAAGGGGAAATGACCACATGTCCCACAGGAATTAAAATAGATAGCTTCAGCTTTGCTTTCATTTATGCAGCCATCTGCACTTTGACCTCCTTGAGACACTATGGGATCTCTTCCACCCTTTTGACTGGAGCATAAATTCATAAACCTTTTTATTTACATTTAAAGGAGCCGTATCATGATATTTTAAATATTTGAGAGCAAAGGTAGACACATTATATGATAAAATATAACCGTTGGAACTACTGAGATGTCCATTATCTTAAACATGAGGGTTTTTTTGTCAGCCTGAATTCACACCCGGAAATGATACGCTTCTTTTCTATAAAGCTCTGCCCACCCTCGCTTCAACAAAACGCGCCTACAAGAGCGTCTTAGGCAAGTCAGTAGTTGTACTGGCCTTGGTAGTCCAGTGGTTTAAGCACCTCCCTTGGCACTCTAACCACCGGACTACAACCAGACAGGCTTATCCTGAGCTGGCTATTACGTGCATCTTTGTAGACAGGATGTGTGTTTTCTACAGCGGTGTTTTGTCCCTGATGAAGAAGTGATTTGTCAGAATATCCAGGTTTCTGAACCAAGGCCACCTGGTGATGTAAGTAGTTTTCATTCAGCCATTTTCAGATTTTTCAAAGTAAAACTCTAAATTTGCAGCTGTTGCAGGAAAATGCATGAATGCAGCCAGAAACAGGTTTGGGGTTGTTTTCATGAGGAAATAACAATATCACATGGTAAAATGCTCCCTTTAAAGAGCGCATCACATCCACGTTTTCCTAGCAAACAAACCATCACAAAAACCTCACGTTGGTTAACAAAGTACGGCCAAAATCATGAATTTCATTTTACCGAACCGATAAAACATCTCAGGCTGCTCATGCAAAACAAACAGGGAGGGAAAAAGTGCCCAAGCATCCCAGTCAGTGTCATGCCCGTTGCTTTATATTGGCCATAAGATTCAGTAACACGAGCAGCAGTTTGATAATCTAATTACGTATTCACGTCGTCCTGAATTTATGTTGCAAAGAGAACAAATTAAAAACCCCAGAAATGAGAGTTCAGCCTGGTCGTTCATCCATTTTTCCTCAGTGGAAACCACTCAGTCTGCATTGAAATATGGAACAGACTTCACTGGCTCATATACCTTGCCTTCAACTCCTTCACACTGGAACATTTCTCTAATGAATCCATTTTGGTACCTTAACACTCTGGAATTGGCCCGTTCAAAGCAAATATACAGTATGGGGATGAGTCTTGGTGAAACCCTGCAGGACGTTTTAGGACTACTCACTAAAACAACATTATAGCTGTAACAGAATGAAATGACTGTTTTCCACCAAACGTCATTTTCCCCCTCCCCTCTGACACAGGACTAGTCTGCATGAGATATGGCCTCAAGGTCTCATGCATTTGCTTACAAACTGCTTCTTTCCAGCTCAAGAGAAGAATGAAGAAAGGACTCTCTCCTTTTGATAAATCAAAGAACTCTATTTTTAATAAAGCTAATCAAACAAAGTGTTAGTCAATAATAAGATGTGACCAATTTGTGAAATCAAAATATTAATTACTTTATTATAATCCTATAGAATATAATAAGTAATATGACTTTAAATGTTTCCACTAGGACTGATCTCACGTAGCGTTAAGACATGACACATTGCTTTACTGATCCAGTCAGAATCTGCCAGATCTGACGGAGGCGTGGCTTTGGTGGTGCTTAGGAAAACTGTCACCTTTTCACTCCTAAATATAAACGTCATCTTTAACGCCAGTTCAAAGCATTCGAGAGAAGTTGACGGAGTGGCCAATCCGTAACTTTGCTCTTCAGCCGTAAGAACCAACGACAAGCTGGATAAAATCTGTTGCTGTTCCAACTGCTACAACGGTTCCTTTCAGAATAACAGCTGAACCATCACCACCCAGTTTTGGGTCTTGTTAGATGCCGAGAAACTGTCGTGACCCGGAAGTATCTCAAGACTGGTGGTCGGCTGCTGCGGCTGTTTCTACAAGCTTCGGCTCCACAAAGGTCAAGCTGGACCTCTACACCTCCTGATCTAGACGGGGACTTCCACTAAGGGTACGTAGACCGACAGAATGGTGTCGAATATGTTTATGAATCTCCTGACTAAAGCTTAGCGCGAAGACATCACCTTCATTTCCCATCAGAACTAATTGGTTCTGAACAACATTCCACACTACACCATTCTCCGTCTCATTCACCTTAGTTACACCATACATTTAGTGTTAAAGTTAGTCTAGTTTCAATTTATTTAGTAATAAATCTTTAAACTTTTAAAACTTGACTTTCTCTTCTGTTGTCTCTGAATGAATACAAAGTGGTTACATAATCCCTGCAATAAAAAGTTCCAATCTTCTGGTTAAACAGTGTCCACAGATCCATAAGTTTGATTTCATATTTACTATGGAATCTTATGTCTTATGGCTCATTAAATAACATGTAAATGAAACCATTACATAGTAAAAGCCAAAGCCAGCAGCTGTCAGGAAGCATGTAGGCACACCCTGGAACTCTCTTTCTTTCTTACAAACTCATCTAAACTGGCAAAGAGGCTAAAAGCTACCAAGTTAATAACCTACGTAGATTTATTCTTGGTGCAACAAAGCTAAACCCTCAATTGTTCTCTCAAAGCATGAAGCGAAACAGAATGGAAGTGACTGAGACAGACAGTTTATATGGACATGCAGTGAGCCAACCATCTGCGCAACACAATTCAAAATGGATGCATCCTGTAAGGATGGCAGAGAAAAGAAGATAGGAAGCTGAAGACATACTCGGCTGTGATTTGTGTGACGAGAGGCAAAGAGGTGAAGCCCGATCCAATGAAGGAGTCTCTGTACTGGGTCATCTTAAGAGCAGCCAGCCAGTCCTCCACCGAGCTCACCCTGCTCAGATCTGGAGCGCCGCGGTCTAACAGGGGATGATGATGGGACGGGCTGTAGACAGCGGATAGAAGATGAGGAGGGTCTCACAATATCACTGGTGTCGCACAAAACAGAATGCGTTAGTGTATGCAAATGTGTTCATATCTCTGCTCACCCAGGGGGGATGTTGTTGGTGCCGGCTTTCAGAGACGCGGGGTTGCGGATCATTTTGTCCAGCATGCTGACGATGTCTGGGAACTTTGGCCGTGCATTCCTGTCTTTCTGCCAGCAGTCCAGCATCAGTTGGTGCAGCACCACCGGACAGTCCATGGGGGCAGGCAGCCGGAAGTCCTGCTCTATGGCGTTTATCACCTGGGACGCAGCAAAGGAGGGAAGCAGAGAAATAACTCAGATTATATGTCTCATTCTCCTAATGATAACATAAATAAAAATGATGTTTCTACTGTAGTCGACACATCATTCATCAACTTCAACATCTCTTAGGTGTGGTTCACACAGCAAGATAATTGTGCTGATTTTTGACCTGATCCTCCCCTTCTATCATTCCTAAAGTTTATGATTACCTTAATAGCTCTGAAGATAATCTTATCAGATATTCCTGCTGTGTGTGGTGTGCAGAGAAAGCTCTGGTCTGCTCCGAAGCATGTGAACTACTCCTCTCATGATTTGGGGAGATGAAATGTGTTGGATTGTCTTGGTCCAACACAGAGGACATACAAGAGTGCTGCCTGCTGAATGCAACGTTAGCCAATCAGAAAACAAGGTGACAGAAGCGCTCTGCATACTCTTTCTCCGCCATGTTTGTTCACTCCAAAGTCATGTTTGATCATGCAAGATTTCCGGTCAGAGCGGGGAATGTTCACGTGTGAAATCAGTTTGTGTGTAGTTTTTGCAGTGTGGCCAGACAGTATACGCCTTACCAAGCTGGCATAGCTTTGTTTTTTATTATTACCACATAAAGGGTCTCAGGTTTTTAAAACCATTCGACATTTTAGCAAAGGTAACCACTCTGGATCGAGCGGACCCTGAAGATGTCATTCGTTGTGCACAAGCTCTAGGATTAGGATATTTGCAGTTGCACGTGTAGTCAGGTTGTTTTGACGTTAAAACCGTAACCACAGACATCAGCATTAGGTTTATGTCCATACAGCAGACTGCAGGAACATGGTGTGCTATATTATTATTCTGTTCAGCCAGCACAACCTTCTGATTTTGCTAAAAATCATTTAGAGGAATCAGCAAAGACCAAATCTGAGCCTCTACCCGAAACTAAATTAGAATTCCTTTTTTACGTGAAACCTTTACAGTTCAGATGTACCTTTTTTCTAGGCAATGTTTAATCAATCTGAGAAACACACGCGTGTGTTTTAGGCATAAGCTTGCTGGTCTGTACTAAATAGCATTTGGTATTTGTGACAAATCTTCTAAACTATCTGCAAATGTTCAAAAGTGTTCTCCGTTTCTTTTTGGAATCACAGAGCCTCGTTATTTTGTTGCTGAAACTTAAAACTTTTTGAAATAATCTGTGAAGCATATTCATTTAAAACATGCAAGTGATTCCTGAAGCCTGGAATCCTTCATGACTCAATGTAACTAAATTGTTGCTATTTACTCAGAATGACATGATAGCAGTGATATGAGTGGACATTATGGCAAATCACAATTACAGGCTGAATCACAATTTCATCAAAAATTGACCAAACTCTATGTAAAAAATGCAGCCCTTGGATTTGAATTTAGGCTAAACGGTTATTTCTGATCAGATCTTAATTATTGAAGTTTTGCCATCAAGTAATCAACAAAAAACATCTTATAAGATAGTAGAATCCTTCTGCTTTGGTGGATTGTTGTGTTTTAAAGGTCCTATATCATGTAAAATCCACTTTTTGGAGCTATTCATGTTATATTGCCATTTCCTCATGGAAAACTGTTACAACGTTAACATTAGTTTAGAAAATAATACAATTCCTTTTAACTATATACTTGACTCTATCTGAATTTATACGAAGTGTGTTTATGGACCCTGGACAAGCAAAGAATACTAAACTCTTCTGGTTAAACATTCAAAGATCAATCAGGCTGATATTTCATATTTATATGGAATCATCACATCTTATTGGTCATAATTAAATTAGCAGTCGTTACGCTATAAAGTGTGACGCTACAGTAAGTACACAAAATTATGTAATACGTGATGGGAAACAGGTTTCACCACGAACCGCTTTTTTCCACTTGGTCCTAGAGCTCAAAAGTGTCTATTTAATATAGCGTAATATTGTTTTTGGATGGTAAAAAGTGCAGGGGACAAAAATTGACTTACGTTTATTCTCAAGGCGCTTCACAAAATAAACATTCCAGTACATCCAATACAGTTGAGTTCATTAAGCCAATCAGTAAAAGGTTTCCTAAAGAAGAAATGCAGCAAATTGCATTGAGCCAATGACTAGAGTCAATGTCAGCAATCCACAAAGTTTGGTGGGTGAGAGTCAGGGATGGACTTAGACAATGATAAAGGCTGGGAATCTCCTACCATCTCACCCACCTTATGTCCAGGTGGCTATTTGTAAACAGAGATTGAACTTTCCCCCTCATCATTTTGTGTGTGAAACAGTCAAAAAAAAGTTACAGGTTTAAATTAAACTTATACTCCAAAACAGAACTGAGCTCTTTAGAGTGAGTTTTACCAGATTTGAAGAAAAAAAAATGTGAGGCCCAAAAAATAGTCAGTAGAGCTTTTAATTCTGCTCAGTTTCACTGTAGGAGCAAAAATGAACACTTTCATGTTCTAAAAAGTCTCCACCAAAATATAAAGTAAGAAGTGATTCATTCTAACCTTCAGGTCCAGAATTTTAGGCGAGGAGAAACCTACATCTTGTGGGTTTATTACTATTACATCTTTTCTCCCATGTCAAAGATGCGATAGGATGAAGATGAACATTCATTCGGTTTAGTCTCAGACCTACAGACTCAAATGTTTTGCAAATTCTATAAACATCCTAAACTCTTCCACAGCCAGAAATCGGACCACAGCGCCTGTTTTGTGATTAAAGCGAGAAGCAGCAGGGTGCAGTTATGCACTGCTTCCTGCGTATTCCTTTAAAGAGCAAGTTCACTGACATTTTAAACTTATTATTTTTTATACATGTCCTGGTCATAAAATTGTAATTAGATTTCTTTCAGTAAATCCATTCAAATAGTGAAACTTGAATTTTAGATTCATTCATAACAGACTGATATACAGACTGATATATTTCAAATGTTTTTCTTTCATTTTAATGATTTTAACAGACAACTAACGCAAATCCCAATTGCAGTACGTCAGAATATTAGAATATTGTGAAAAATTTTATAATGAAGACCCCTGGCGCCACACTCTAACCAGCTAATTAACTCAAAACACCTGCAAAAGCCTTTAAATGGTCTCTCAGTCTAGTTCTGTAGGCTACACAATCATGACTTGACAATTGTCTAAAAGACAACCATTGACACCTTGCACAAGGAGGACAAGACACAAAAGGTCATTGCTAAAGAGGCTGGCTGTTCACAGAGCTCTGTGTCCAAGCACATTAATAGAGAGGTGAAGGGAAGGCAAGGCAGCTTTATTTATAGAGCACATTTCAAACACTGAGGCTATTCAATGTGCTTTACAATTATCAGCACATGATATGAAAACACATAAAAACACAAATAAAAATATGTACAGATAAAACTACAGTTTAGATGTAAAGGAGAAGACAAAGTTACAGCGCAGATTACAGTGGAGATGATGCATGATAAGAAACATGAGTACATTAGGGGTTTAGTTTTGGTTTAAACAACACTAGAGTTGGGACACAACTGAGGTCATGGGGGAGCTGATTGCATATGTGAGCAGCATAGTAACTAAATGCATCTCCACCATGTTTGGTTCTGACCCGACGTTCTAACAGCTGATTGTTTCCAAGGGATCTCAGAGCCCTATTGGGTGTGTATACATGGATGAGATCGGACATGTATTTTGGTCCCATGCCACTGAGTGATTTATAAACTAGTAGGAGCACTGTAAAATCTATTCTGTAGTTTACTGGTAACCAGTGTAGGGATCTAAGAACAGGAGTGATGTGCTCCCTTCTCTTAGATCTTGTTAAGACAATCTGAACAAGCTGCAGTTGATTCACAGCTTTTTCGGGAAGACCAGCTAGGAGTCCAGCCGACTAGAAATAAAAGCATGAATACGTTTCTCTAAGTCTGGTCTGGACATGATGTGGTAGAAAAAAAGTGTACAAGCAATAGAGATAACCACACCCTGGGGAGGATGTGAAACTAAACCCATTCAGAAATGTGGGTGAGATTCACAAAGAGTGGACTGCAGCTGGAGTCTGTGCTTCTAGAACCACCACACACAGACGAATGCAAGACGTGGTTTCAGCTGTCACATTTCTTGTGTCAAGCCATCTTGAACAAGAGACTGCATCAGAAGCATCTCACCCGGGCTAAAGACAAAATGGACTGGACTGCTGCTGAGTGGTCCAAAGTTATGTTCTCTGATGAAAGTCAATTTTGCATTTCCTTTGAAAACCAAGGTCTCGTTGCTTGAGGTCCAGTGTAAAGTTTCCACAATCAGTGATGGTTTGGAATGCCATATCATCTGCTGGTGGCGGTCCATTGTGTCAACGCAGCCGTCTACCAAGAAGTTTTAGAGCACTTCATGCTGCCTTCTTCTGACCAACTTTATGGAGATGCAGATTTCATCTTCCAACAGGACTTGGCACCTACACACAGTGCCAAAGCTACCAGCATCTGGTGTAAGGACCATGGTATCCCTGTTCTTCATTGGCCAGAAAACTCTTCTGAGGTATTGTGAAGAGGATGATGCAACAATTCAGAAGAGCTGAAGGCCACTATCAGAGCAACATGGGCTCTCATAACACCAGAGCAGTGCCACAGACTGATCGACTCCATGCCGCGCCGCATCGCTGCAGTGATCCAGGCCAAAGAAGTCCCAACTAAATGTTGAGTGCTGTACATGCTCATACTTTTCATGCTCATACCTTTCAGTTGGCCAACATTTCTAAAATGTCTTTTGTTGCGTTGGTCTTAATGGATATTTCAAATTTTCTGAGATACCAAAATTGGGATTTTTATTAGTTGTCAGTTATAATTGTCAACATTAAAAGAAATAAACATTTGAAGTATATCAGTCTGTGTGTAATGAAGGAATCTAATATACAAGTTTCACTTTTTGAATGGAATTACGGAAATAAATCAACTTTATCATGATATTCTAATTTCATGACCAGCACCTGTGTGTGATAAGTCACTCAGAGTTTAACACGCAGGTTGAGTGTGAAAATAGTCTTCTACCCCTATTT